ACTAAACGATTTTTTTGGCAGTGCACATGTCTAGGTGTTAGCACGTCCCTGCACCATTACCTGGAAAGTCTATTTCAGACCTTTTCAAGGCCCTGAACAGTCTGGGCCACTTGTATGACTATCTTTGACTCACATTCAGAGTCTCAGCAGTTTATCTCTGTTTTGAGGCACCAGTTTCCTACCGTCACCTCAGAATTACAAGGGATTGTTTTAAGACCTTACTGATGCAGTGCGTACTACCTTGCATTTCGAGGATCAGCTTATGCTTCCAGCCTTGGGTCTTTCAGAGCTCCTACAGTTGTTAAGACCTTTCAACTACCTCCACTATTTGAGGTATTCCTTTGTGTAGACAAGAAGTACCTTGAAGAGCTTTGGGCCCCAGTTGAGAGTGCATTAGAACTGAGTCTAATGTCCATACAGATGTGCAGGGCACTCTGGTTATGATGCTAGGGTGCTGATGTCACATCCATAGAGCATCAGGCTTCACTGGGTTCCAGTATTGATAACTGTCATCCGTGAGCGAGGTTTTCCTAACAAAGTCCACAGCCTGCGTGCCCTCATCAGACAGGGAGTTAACCCCTTCCTTATGGCAGTGTAGGTCCTTGGGGGACCCTCCCTTTAAGGTCACCTCCCTCTCTTTTATGGTTTCCTGGCCCATTTCAGTCCCCTTCCCCTTTGTTGTGGCAAGTCTGGGTTCTGAGCAGGACAATCGGCCTGTCTCTGTGGACCTGGCGTCATCCTTCGGGCAGCTGGGTTAGATTATTCTTTCCATATCCAGGGGGGGCTTCACTTAGTGGAGAAACACCACCACCAACAGGTAGTTCTTTACATGTCGGGGGATTCCACCTTGGATAGGTTTCCTGGTTCAGACTCTGTCAGGCACCATCTAGATGTTGCCATGCCTTTTCCATTGGGAAAGAGTGGGAGTCCTTCCTGCAACAGCAGAGGTAGTTTGGATCGTGTGCTGGATGATGTAGATAGTATTAGCCTCACTCACACTGTCCCCGTTAAGGAACAGCCTTGGGAACAGGCTTTTCTCAATCAGTAGCCTCTGCACCAAGAGGAGAGGTTTGCGCATCTAGGTGCACCTCAGATGGCAGACAGAGATCTTTGCTGGAGGGCCCTGGGCAACTTTGGATTGTCAGCAGCTAAAACAATTGTTGGATGCTGGTGGTAGCCATTAACAGTCTATCCTTCCAATGTTTGTGATGTGGCGATTATTCCTAAATGCTTACTAATCTTTTATGTTTATATTATTTCATTTGGAATGAACAACTATTCATACTTCATAAGGCCAGTGCATTCTGTGTTTTCTGTTTATGTAGGTGGTGAGACAAGTTTTTTTTACATGCTGACCTGTGAGTGTGCCATAATACCTTTCTACTGTTTAAAGCCCATTTCGTGTGCACCTTACTGTATAATTGGTGACAAATTGTTGAGTGCGTTTGTCATTTGTTTTGCTTTTCTGTTTATGTATGGCACCAGATTATGCTATTGGTTACAAGAGCTGAATGCTATGAGGCATGAATACAGAAGATCTCTTTGTACACATTTAGGATATATACCAGCTGGTCTCATTTGATCATGCCTGAAGTGTTGTGGGAACTAAACAGATGTAAATAATGGATGATATTAGAATATGCAAAGCACTGACAGAAGAGGAGAGTAGCCTAATGACTAGGCCTGGCCAGCCTCCACTGCTGATTTTACTGGTTCCACCCGCCTAACAAACCTAAGACCTCAGATTATTCATCAACCAACACAGTGATGCCCCCACACTGCTCTTTTTTCACTGACGCATTGACTTCGTCTGCTCCTGTTACCACCCCATCAGTTCCTGTAAGGGTGGGGGGAGAGAGAGAGATGACTGGGGGGGGGGTTACCACTGAACTATCAATGGCAGCGGAGGCTGACCAGGACCGATGCCTCCCCAGCAATCTGCTCAAGATGGAGGCCCAGGGACAACTTCCCCCTTTATTCTAGCTCTGCCTGCAGGATACTTTTGATATGCTTCAGCATTCTCTGTAAAGTGTTGCTGCTTATATCAGCACTTAGCTCTTCTCACAGTCACTGTGACCATTCACACCACTGCAAAACATCAACGAGTGTTGTGATAAGGCAGCACATTTATTTGAATGGGATGTCTAATGCACCAAAAAAAGGGAAAATGCACCATTTCTGGCAGCCCATTGCAATGCAAGAAAGGTGCATTGGAGTGTCATTCAGTATGAGTGGCACCACATTGCACAAATGCATGAAGTGTGGATTGCCACAATGCAATAGTGGGAATGGGCCCTAATAAAGCACACAGAACTATGCAAAACTTACATTAAAATCTGTTATGTTTCTATGTTTTATGGTTCATGGAGACAATGGGTCTATATCCAAGCCTATAACTTTTTTTAAAATAATGTGTAATTATTGTACGGTAACAACAGACAGGATTTTGGTAGCCAGTTCAAACTTGTCTTGGTGCTGTCATTATTGTTCCCAAAACAAAATAAGCTGCTTTGCCCACTTGCATAACTATCCTTTGGTGTCAAATGAGATGAAAATTCTAATTTCTATCATGCAACTAAGTAAGACTAATGTTATCAGTCCCACAGCTGAAGTTTAGGGAAGGCAGAATCTAAACAGTAAATGCTAAGTCATCCTATAGCGCCATTTCAATGTACAGAACTTGTTTATGTGAAATCTCCTTGTAAAATGTCAACACTGGATACAACGAAGGCAGCCAAAGACTGTTGCAGAACAGAGGAAATGCTAATTATACTGTAGAGACTCCAAATTAAATTTATTGTATTGTTATCTATTTTGTCTTGTACCTAATCTCATCATCCATGTTCAGAAATTCGATTGCAAGCTGACCCATGACTAGAGCTAGGAAAATAATCCAGTTAAGGGATGTTTGATATTTCCATAGAACACTGAAGGCATAGACATGCAGAGTCCACTTTCTCGATAGAGGGCTGCTCAATAAGTCACATGCCTATGAGAGATTCTGCATTCTGATAGGGGGCCCATATATCAGAACAGGTGACATTTACATGTCCTAGTTGTAAATTTTACAGTCATTCATCAACAAGTGATGCGATAATTCCTAAAAGGCAGAGCACTGTCACCTTGATATTCTGTGACCTTAACACTGTAGTATTCACAAGCTACAAGTCAGAGAACGAATCATCCTATCTGCATTTGTCCATAACTACAAATCAGAGGTTCACCGAAATGGGAATTTCAAAACCGAAATTAAAAAAAAATGTCAGGCCGAAACCGAAAATGTTATTTTTATTTTTCTTAAAATTTAATATTTTATTTAAAACTTTATTTTTTTATATTAATTTATTTTTTAGGAAATATTTTAATTTTTTCACTTTACTTTTAGGTGCTCCGGGGAAATATTAGGGCTCTCCTCTCTGACACGCTGTCACAGGAGGCTGAACTGCGCACTCACACCACTCTGCCGGACTGTGATAGGAGGCTGAGCGGTGTGGGAGGAGAGACGCCGGCCGCTCACAGCGCTCTCCTCCCGCAGTGCCTGTTCTGCTGTCACACTTTCTCTCCTCCCCGCTGGGACACAGAGCAGCGCCCAGCGGGGAGGAAAGAAAGCAGGCATGCGTCGATGTATCTGCACAAAAATTGCACTTTCTGCATTTAGCCAAAAGTGCTATTTTCGGCCAAATAATCCTTTATATTTGATGGTAGTTCCATTTGATTTTACTTTTTTGTCCTGGTAAGTACATGCATAGCAAGTAATGTGTATAAGTAACATGTACAGGTATGTATTACTTCTCACAGAGATCACAGTACTTCCCTTGACAATGCTGTTATCTCCAGAAGTATGGAGTCATCTTTGTTCAGGCATCATCCAGGGTCAGCATTTACGTAATTGGCCAGAATTGCTGGCTCAGAGATAACACAATCATACAAGTTCTTTTTTTGTGTTCACGGTTATCATCTTAGTCTAGGCAAAGTCACTGATAAAGTTTAAGGATTGCTTTGTAATGATAAAAAGGTACCACTTTTTTTTCAAAATAACATATTGATGCATATTGTGACAGCAATTAAGCTATGCAAAATTGTAAAGTTACTGAAAAGTCCACTTTAAATAAGCACCACTATTCATGTAACTAACTGCTACTGAATTTAAGGTATGGGTGCATACAGACACAATGTAGACAAGGGTCTTTCTAGAGATCCACTGCCCTCTAGTGACTATATTTGTTTATCTATCTAGTTCCACAAATACAAACAGAAATACCAATACAATTTTTAATTGGAGAAGGAACTTTATATCAACCAGCTTCAACAGAACTGAAGCCAGTGCATGCTAATAATGTTATTCCATCACGTTACAGCCACTGGGGATCAGTATAGGCTGACAAATAGCAATAGTAAATTGTACTACTAGAGAGCATAATCCCTGTATGCACAAGAATCTTTTGTGAAACAAATAACTATTGCTGCTTCCAAAGCACATGGCAAATATGTACTAGTTTCTTCAAGGTGTACTCTTTGCGTTTGGAGGAAAAGAGGTTTAACATTTGCATATGGAAAGGACTCTGCACAGTTAGAGCTGTGAAAATGTGGAATAGACTCCCCCGGGACCAAGATCTAGCCAGCTCAGTTAATTATTTAAAAATCTGGATGTATTCCTAAATGCACAGAATATTATTGGATATTGAGTTCTTATAGGTATATTAAGCATCAGAGATTGTTGATCCAGGGAATATCCGATTGCCTTATGGGATCAGGGAGGATTTTTCCCCGTTGGAACAAATTGAACCATGCTTTATAGGGGTTTTTTTTGCCTTCCTCTGGATCAACAGGGGGTATAAGTATACTCCTGGTGCTTGAAAATGCACATTTGCAAAAATAGGTTCACCTAATTTGCTTTCAGAGGGTGGAGCCTATGAATCCAGTAAAGTTTCAATCATAAAAAGTGACCTGTTTTTTTAACTGTACATTTAGAATGGCATTGGCATCGACATACAACCTTTAACCCAGTGTATAAGTCCTGTAAAAAGGCATGCTTAAAGGATCAACAGTCCTGAAATACTAACAATAGCCCAATTCAGTTGCTTTTCCTCCTTTTCGTGTTTTTGTGTTCACTCGCTTCTGTAATCTTCTCTGCTGGCCTCTTCTTCAGTGCCTTAACTTTACGGGTCTGCAATTTACCCAGATCCTGTTTTTGCATGTGGATTCGGCCATATTGTGTACCAAAAGTATCATGTGAGATGTTTTTCTTCTTCTTTGCCTGAATGAAAACATGCAATGCATCAGAATAATCACATAACAATTAACTAATTCTTTTTAACAAATCCTCCATGTAAAAGAGCATGCAACATCTAGCACTACAGTTATTGCCAGATATATCAAAATGATTTCTGATATATACACAATATACACACACACACACACACACTAACTAACTACCTGCAGGGCTTTAGGACGTTTCATCGCCAGCTTGTATAGATCATCAGAAGCAAGGTGGGTCCTTCTCATCACAAAATCAAATGAAGGTCCCATTTCTTCTAGTTCTATCCTGGGGGTTCTGCACCCAGACTTCTTCATTAACACTCTAGCACCACAAATAAATAAAAAAAACATTATTATTAGTGTTATAGGAAAAATACAATTACTTTAGAAACAAAGTATGCATGCGCCGTACAGTGTACACAAGGAGAAAAAAAAATCACTGGAGGAGAGAGGAAGTATTTTTGGTTAGAAGAGACTTTGCGTGTCTCTTCTGCCAAAATATCTACCTCCCAGTGTTTATTATTGGTATTTATACAGCGCCAACAATTTACACGCAAGGAGCTTACAATCTAAGGTCCCTATCTTACTTGAATACATACCGTGCCGATTAACCTTCAAGCATGTCTTTGGAGTGTGGGAGGAAACCAGAGTACCAGGAGGAAACCCACGCAAGTACAGGGAGAACAAGCAAACTTCTTGCAGATAATGTCCTGATGGGGATTCGAACCAGGAGCCCCCAAGTTCTGCAAGGCAGAAGTGCTAACCTCTGAACCAGTTTTTTTTTTTACCTCTGCTTTAACAAAAGCTACAACCAGGGAATTTCACATATCTAATCTGACAGTGTTAGCACAAAAATAGTTGTATAGTTAGTCAGGTTGAAGAAAGACACATGTCCATCCAGTTCAACCTATAGAGAAACTGGTATTATTTGATAGTATTGAAAACCAGCGCTGCAAAAACATTGCAAACATCTGTGCCAATTTTCAAAGCAGTATGAGACAAGCATGGCAAAAACCAACATGCTGAAAATATTCAGCAATATTCACTGAATACACCATGTAACTCAACTGTGCTCAAAATCTCTATTTGCAACCAGGGTAACCAATATTAGGTAACTTTCTAACAGGAGGTGATGAAACAGAATTAGACATTTTCAGCTGGCTCTCCAATGGCATTAAAGATATTAGGTGAAATTTCACACCATATTGTTATACGTTGAGGAGAAATCACCTCTAACGTCAAAGACTTTAATAGGGCCAGATAACAGAATTAGGTCAAGTCCCAATGCCAGCAATATGTTCCTGGCAAGTTACCCTGGAACATTTCTTAAGTTAATTGTAAATTAAGCACTTACTTGTAGCTGCGCATATAAATCTTCCCATCCACTGCTGTGAAATGCAATATATGCTCCAACCCAGCCAGACGTATACCAGACACTGTTGGTCCTCTAAAGAAGTCTAGAAATAAATAACAGCATTACTTCAGCCAGTACAACCTGACTCCAGCATTGTAAACACTTATTTTATGTAGCAATACCTAGTCTGGATCATAGCCAATAATGTCATGGTGTTAACAAAGGCATAATTCATAAAAACGCCATGCGGGATCACCTTAATTTTTCTTTCTTTTGAAAGTTCATTATGCAATTAAATTCAATGTTTTACCTATGAAGAGGCTTTTCAAGCGCCTGTAATCTTCATTCATTTCAAATGCATCTCCAGCAAATATCACCAGAGGTTTGGTGCCTTCAGGGCATTTGCAATTCTGTAAGACATAAATGCATAAATGTAGAAAGAAAGTACTTTGGACCTGGCCCCATACAAACCTATGGCAACCAGATTCTGTTTTGTATTTAATTATGCTGGACAAAAATGCACCTTTTCGCACAACAGGCGATTTCGCCCCGCGCCACGCAAAGATGTGAACAACCTTCATTAACTTCAATGTGAATCTGTGTTCTGCACCATAAATCACCTAGGTGTGCACCAGCCCTGATGGAATTTTTCTTAAAAAAAGAGAAATTGTCAAGCTTCACCACCAGGAAGTTTGCTATGTCAGAACAACCTAACATGTGGGTGCAGTAACAGTAGATGAAGATGTATAATCTATACCAGTGGAGGTCAACTTGAAAATTATAGCGCCTCAAACGTGGCCTTTGACAATTCCAGAGAGCCACACATAAGCAATGCATTTTTGTGCATTTAGGTACAATGTGTTAAGTTAGGTAGCCCATTCAAATTGAATGCAACATACCTCAACGTTAAAAACTTTTGGTCCTGGTGCATTTTTTTTTAACGTATCACAATGCACACTAAAGAGAAAATTGTAGTCATCATTGGTGGCAGTGGACGCATTAAAGACCCCCAGCATTGGTGTCAGTGGGGACAATAAACCCCCCAGCATGGGTGTTGGTGAACATAATAAAAACATCCCACATTGGTGTCAGTGACAGCAATAATAACCATGATAACTCCTCCAAGCATTGGCATCAGTGGCAGTATTTTTAACCCCCACCTCCACCATTGGTGGTCAGTGTTATTTTAAACCCCTCTCCCCGCATTGGAGGTCAGTGGCAGTGTTTTTTTCAATCCCCCTCAGCATTGGTGGTCAGGGCTGCACAGAGAAATTTTACCTTACCTGATCGCACGTGCTGCTCTCTCCCTAACTAGGTCAGAACTATACTTGTACTGTGGGTAGAGATCACTCCATCTGACTGCCTCTACTTCAGTGTGGGGCACTGGCAGCCCGCTGCAGTTCTGCAAAATCCACAGGTTGCAGTCCTAGCCAAGGACACAGAGGGCTGCACACAGTAGGCCACATGTTGGTCACTGGGGCTCTATACTGTACTATGAAACAAAGTAAAAAACCCTGAGAATTCCCACTATAGCCTACTTGTAAATGCCTACAGAATCTGGTAGAGATAACAGATATTGAAGTATGTGGCATTGCTTTCTTCTATTGTCCCGGTGTATGGCACACCTAAGTTAATTTATTCTAATAAAGGAACACTGAATACAAAATTTACAATATTGAAATGAAAAAAAAAAACGTTGTTAAAAAATTAAAGTTATGCCCAAAAAAGTTACAAACATACACAGTGACACACACAGTAAAGCTATGTACCTTAAACTCCTTTAAGGACACATATTTCTCCATTCCTAGCTCAACCATATCCAGCACATGGAAATCATACATACGACCTAGTAAACAAAAGAAACAAAAATTACTCGTAAGGGGAAAAAAAGTGATTAACTAATTCCATGGAAGCAGATGTAGAATTTTCCAATTTACATTTGAAAAGTGTTTACTAGGAAACCTAACACTCCTTCAGGTTGATAAAAAAAAAAGAAAAGAAAAAGCTGACATGTGGTTTTAACCCTCCCCTACTCTATCCAATATGAACAAAGTATTGGGTTTAGGTATACTTAAAAACAAAAGAACAAAACATAGATGCATGGTTGAATTGTTATTAATTGCTTGCTGCACATGCCATCATGCATTTTAACAAATGTTTACTAGGAAACCTAACACTCCTTCAGGTGATAACACATGAACTTTGTGGTCTCACTAAGTAATTGGCAACTATAAAGAAACAACATAGCACTGAGGTTTCTTATGGTTGTATAATGCTTTCCTGCCATAAAATCATAATACACTGGGGCATATTGACTGCATGTGGTGTCTCATTAAAAGAAAACATTAACATACTGTAATTCCATCAAGGCACAAAGAGTTGAATACAGCTTGAAATCATCATAAAGCTGGTGTACACTTTAGACATCATGTGGACAATATTTTTCATTTTAGATACAAATTTAATGCAAATGCAGGGCAGCCAAACACTGCTGGCAACAAAAGCTTGAGGTAGAGAGATTAGATAGATAGATTAGGTAGATATGGTTCAGAAAAGTCTATCATCAAGTCATAAAGCTGTAGGTTTGCAGTAGTACTTGAAGCCTAGTAAAGCACAGACACAGCTACATAAAAAAAAAAGAAAAAGCTGACGTGGTTTTAACTCTCCCCTACTCTATCCAATATGAACAAAGTATTGGGTTTAGATATACTGAAAACAAAAAAACAAACATATATGATGGTTGAACAGTTATTAATTGTTTGCTGCACATGCCATCATGCATTTTAACAAATGTATGGTACCTTTTCATGTTGCATTTAAATGTTGCAAATATATTTTTTTATTGACTACATATAATCCTGTATCTTCCTTCTGTAAACACTACACAATGGATTGATGTTCCAGAGCTGCAATCCTGTACAATTTGCACATAATGCCTTTCAATAATCTTACAGTACATATACTGCACAATAGAATAAGAAATCATTTTTAAATTAAAAACAAATATTAGAGAGCACAGCATATAACCTCACCAAAGATCAGGTTGTTTGGGCGTTTCTTGTTATGGGAACCAAACACAAAGAGCGAGCAGTCTGATTTCTTCGAGAAAAATTCCTGATGCATACACAATAACAGAAGAACACAGTTACTTCATTATTTTTTTTAAAGATTTTAACGTGATCTTTGATTGTATGGGTGTCTACTCTACACATATAAAAGAGCCCAGCAATGGCCATCTCCATTCAGGCAATGCTGTCTCTCACTGGGATCCTGGGTAGGGCCATACAGGAAAAGGGTGGTGTGGGGGAGGAGACACTGCGAATTACATTTAACTGCCAATAAAATAATATGGCGGGCATGAAGAGGTAGGAGAGTGATCAACCAGTAAGCCATGTGCTTGATAAACAGAGTGCTCAGGTGCTCTGTAGATAAAACAAGGCAGTGAGCAGGTGACTGGATTTACTGACTTTATAAACCTGGGGTCACTTTATAAGGTGAGATCAGCCAACAAGTTCACTTTATTTCCCAGTATTTATTTTGATTTAAACCTGGCAGCCTATGTATAATGGGTGGGAATGCTGCAAACAGCTTTTTCATATGATAAAGCTTTTGAACACAATATTTATACTTGGCCTAAAAACTATGTGTTCTTCAGTGGGCATCCCAAGCAGTCCGACTGTACATTTTTTTTTACACTGGACCAAAATAACTATTGCTACAATGAAAAGCTTACTTTAATATTTTGCAGCTCGTCCAGAACGCCTTAAGGGTGTAAGTTAAAGTATATCTCAGGGCACTGTAGCGGCTCTTTAAACCCTTCTAGAAATGCTTTGAGCACCTAAAATTCTTCGCACTCCACCTGTGCTCCACTGAAATCCCATGTAGTGTTATTATCACCCTTATCAGTTTTCTTCTGTGAGCTACAAAACATCCCTCTAAATTATTGAGATGTGAAGAAGGTTAAGTGTTTTGTAGTCAAAACCAGGAGAGCAGCCTTGGTTAACAAAGCTGCTCCTCTATAGATACAGTACAGCTGGTGAGTGTTGGCACACTAGGACAGGAAGCGAGCTACTGGCAGGATCACCAAAGAAACAAAAAAAGAAAACCCTGAAAGCAAAAATACGAATGCAGCCAACACAACATCTAAACACTAGTAAACTGTATTAGATTTCATTTTGATAGACTTTCATAGAACAAGGACATTAATAAAGGTCACATCCCATATATTTACACATTTTCTTGAAGCTTACCACTGATGTCTGATCTTCAAAGGGTCTTGTCATATTTTTTCTAAACAAAACATACTAAGTGATTAGATAAGAAGAAATAAAGAAGGCCTGTATGATAGAAAGTTTGATCAATCACTAGCCTTTTTGCCTGCAAGGCACACTGTGAAGTGTGGCGAGGGGGGGGCACAGCACTATCGTTCCGCAGCAAAGTGAAAGTAACTTTAAAAATGGGACACAGTGTGGGCTTTTCTGGATGAAGGTGGTGCCTGTTCTTAGGAACTACTTTAAGATAGAGTGGAGAAGGTCAATTTGCTAAATTGCAAACTTATCAAAGTGCTTGTTACCCACATGCCTCTGGCAAGCATGGAGCAAGTGAAGAGAGCGCTCCTGATCTGCATGTTTGTTTCAGGTCAGTGATTCAAATAAGTTACTGGATCAGCAGGCCAGCCACATTATATCTTTTTATATTGTCAGCAGTGACAGTATGCATATTGCCTGCAGTACAGGTCCATTGAGGCAGAGAGTGGAAAGAGCTGTCACTGTAGATTCTGGTGACCATTTTCAGAGAGCAAGCAGTGTTTTGATAAGGTGCTGGCTATTCCTGAAGGCTGCTTTGCATTGGAATCAATAGGTGTAGGTCAATAGGTCTGTACCTGATGCCGAGGGAAGAGAGACAGAGCACAATTCAAGTGACAGTACAGCTAAACATGCAGCAGGTAATATAGCCATTATCTCAAAGTGATGGCCAAAAGGACCGTGTGAGGTTGGGGCTGGAAGCGCCAGATCTTAACGGTCATAATGTCTGTGGCAGCAGGGTTTGGAAGGTATGTGCAGCTGCCACTAGATGCTGGCACTGTATACTTGCAGCACTTTGCCCCCTTCCCTGCAGGGACAGAAAAAAAAGAAAAGAAAGCATACACATAAAAAACGAAAACAAAACCAAAAAACAGTGGTCATAATAAGCCACTAGAATTTATTTGATAATTGTTTTTTGGCATGCAGAAGAACTGTCCTTTAACTAGAAAAACATTTTTCTTACAGCAGAACTCCAGGGTTAAGCGCTTGTTTTGGTCTAGGGAGGAATAACAAAGCTATTCTCGCCCAACCTCGGAGGTAGCTGGCTTTGACCGCGTTCCCTCCAGCCTGTCTCCTTCTCCGGTGCAGCGATGGTATGTCCCTTGCATCCTTATGTCCCAAACATGGTTATAGAACATGATGGCTCAAGGACCTTAGACCACTGAAACGTAGGGGGAAGAGAGGATCCACGGACCGGACTAACAAGCCGGCTCCGAGTATCAGGCGAGTATAACTCTGTTCATTTTTTTCCAGGGAAGAAAATTAACACTTAACCCTTGCAGTGCAGGGGTAGCATCACTGCATGAGTTCATACAAATGTCTCTGTTAAATACTGAATAAAAACTCTTTCTGTTAAAAAGGTCTTCTTTAACACGTTTTGTATATAGAGCCAGCCAAAATGTTACTTTTTAATTCTTTATTTTTATAATCCACATATACATGGATTATACAGAATCATAAATTGCCCATCTACAGATATAGAAAGTGTCTGATTTACAACCAGGTTAACCTTTACAGCCTAAAGGTCAGAAGTAGAATTTTTTTTCTTTATTGTTTCAGAAACTATGCCATTTAATAAAATAAATACTACTTACTTTTTATATAAGACACAAGATGGCTTTTTTAAAGAATGCTGAAAAGTGAAATAAATAAAAGCAACAAAAAATTACCATGCAAGTAATTAATCAGGTAGGTGCAAAAACTCAATTCTTAAAACAGTAAGAGTCATTTATTAAAGTAGTTCAATGTTAATTAACATAGTTCTCATTTTAAAAGATAGACATTCTAGACACGATAGCTAAGAATTTTTGTATAGAACATATATTTCCTGCTGGTATTAGCCGGAGGTATAGTGGGTGGATTTATACAAATCGAATGAAAAATTATTCATGGCAACCAATGAGACCCCACTTATCTTTCTAGAGAATGTTAAACAATAAAAGCTGAAAAGTTAAATGCTGGCCATGATAATAGGAGTGACATATAGTGTCATTCTCAAAACCTTTGGCCACGACTGTACATACATGCACAAAAAGCTATGCTACAAATACACATTTAATACAGAACAAAGGATTTCAAGATTTGCTTTGCAGCTGCCTTTGATTAATACCTTGTACTGTTAGCTGTCTGATAAAGGTATGGGTCACTGTTGTGATGCAAACAGGCTTCTTTTAGAAGAAATAAGGGCTGATATAACCTATTTGTATTGGAGACTACAGTGCCACCTACTGACTGGCTGGCTAGAAGACTACAGGATATGACAGTATTATGCAATATGTTATATTTACCTGACTAAACAAAACAAAGTATTACTTCCATTTTCTTATGCGGACCTTAAGCCCTCGTTCACACCTGAACGTTTTGTAGCGCGGTCTACGCTCGACGAACGCTCTACAAAACGCTCAAAAATAGAAATCCCATTGTATTCAATGGTCTCGTTCCCACCTTGGCGTATTTCCGCCCGTCCCTAACGCGCTACAAAATGGCCCACGCCTGAAAAGGTACAGGTACTACTTTGGGCCGTTTTGTTGCTCATTTCCATTGGGATACAGCCAAGTAGCCTTCGGAAACGCGCGTTTGTCGCGCAACTTTTTTTTACCGCAAATCGCCGTAAAAAAACGCGCGACAGACGCGCATATGCAATACGCCTAGGTGTGAACGAGACCTAAAGCTGAACTCCAGGCAATTAGCTAAACATTCAGATGAAATACATATGAGAGAGCTGTTTTTACCTGCCAATAGAATTGGTATTGCTGTCTATCCAATCCTAAGATTTATGCAGCTCTGCCACAAAGCACAGCCCTGTCTGGCAGGGCAGGAGATTTTTCTCTGCTACAGTTAAGTAACTCTAAAGGTGGCCATACACTCTACAACCATCGCAAGACTTTAGTCTTGCGATGGTTGTAAAGGGATTAAAAAAAACGTATGATCTGCCTATCTTGGACAGGCAGATCGCACTCTCGATCATCGCAAGCCCACCCCCCTGAGGGGCGGGCTTCCGATGACCGCAATGCTGAACGGGCAGTGTGCGCGTGCGCACACCGGCCCGTTCAGCATTTATCTTCCGAGCACTGTTCTAACCAGCCGAGAATCGTACGATTCCCGGCTGGTTTTCGAACATGCTGGTTCGACAGAAGACGTGCGACCGTACAGTAGAAACGGTCGCACGTCTCCGTTCACACTGCTCGATTATCGTACGAAAAACTGATCGCATACGATTATCGTACGATAATCGTGCAGTGTATGGGCACCTTTACTCACTTGTCCCTCCCCCAGCCTGTGCCTGGACACAGCCCACTATGCGATATCAAATTACAATGACAGGTCCTCTTTATGGAGACATCAGGGGTCTTTAAGACCCCTAATGTCACCAAGGGATCCCCAAAGGAGCTGATGTATTGATTTGCCTCTCATCTCTGGTCACAGAACCGCCAACCCAGTCCCAGGCCCGTACGGAGCACAGGGAGCCCGGGACACACGGAGGCACAACATTCAAGTGATCCGAAGGCTCTCCAGCCGCCGGACTGCTTGTATGTTAACAGGCATCGCTGGCCATTGTTTTAAATTCTGTCAATTTCCCGCTCGTGCGCATGGGTACAAGGACGTTTTAAAACGCCTACACGCATCTAGAAGGCGCCCGTCCGCCCGCCGGGCGGCAAGTGGTTAATAACCAAAAAATAAGTTGCACAAAGTTACATCATTCAGAACCATATGGGTACTAAACAGGCTCCAGAGCTACATTGTAGGCACACCAGTATTTGAGGCACCTTAGTGAGGTGTAAAGGTAGATTCAATGACCACTTGGTACCAGCATTGTAGTTCTGGAACATATTGAGTGTCCTTACTATACTGACAGTTCTCTGACAGTATGAAACAGCTACATGACCTAAATGAAACCTAACTGCCATGGTAATTCTGCAGGGGAAAAAATGTAAAGTTTTAAAGAGAATTGCTTATGACAATGTGAAAGTAAATTGGCCGTTCTTACCAGATCCTTTAGGGCTTGTGTCACAGTATTGCTAGCATTGCCTCCTTTGATGAGCATAGCACTTTTGTCATTTTCATTAAGTTTGGGTCCCCTCTGTTCCAAGAATCTCTTTGATCTCCTTGTTTTAGGCTTTCTGAAACAGAAAGGGGAATGTCAGCAAAAGATACTCTTTCATTAAACCCGTTCAAACGCTCCCTTAAAAGGACATTTCTACTAAGAAAAAATGTGGGAAGTAACCACACTGCGGCTCCTGAAAATGGCAGTTGCTTGACTATTTCTTGAAAACTTTGTTAAACTTGACAGTCTCAAAACAGTTACTTTCAAGGCGTGCCAACTGTCAATGTTGCCAGTGTGCTTATTATAGCTCTTAAACCAAACTCTCAACCGCTGCTCATTTTGTACAAGTGATCTTGCCAATGTCGCTGAGACCACATTCACACTGAGCTACATTCAGCACGATTTTTAGCTGAGCGACATTGAGCTAGGTTGAGCTACAGTGCACATTTTGTTGCGCGACTTTTCGCAGGGACTTTGTAGCGGCTACATTGGGCTGTAACTAGGGATGCACTGATACCGGTATTTTGGTACTGAGTATGAGTACCGATAATTTTTTTCCAATTACCGAGTAACAGAAGTGTAATGACTCGCCACCTGGCTTCCTGATTAGCCGGGAAGTCGGGCAGCGTGTAAAGACTCGCCACCCGGCTTCCCGATTTACAAGTAAGTCTGTCCCCTCTCACTTCTACCCCAGGGGCCTCTCCAGCCAGGAGCGGCCTTCCTCTGGTACCCAGCCAGAGCCGTCTTGCTGGCCAATTATGGAAGCCAAGCGCCGTGTAATGATGCGGCACCTTTCTTTCTGATTGGCCGGCTCCATGCTCCCTCGTCATAAGATGACGAGGGAGCATGAAGCCGGCTTCCCGGCCAATCAGAATGCCGGGCGCTGCGTCATTATACGGCGCCCAGCTTCCTGATTGGCCAGCTTTTTGACCAATCAGGAAGCCGGGCAGCGCATAACAAGTGACGAGAGATCATGGAGCCGCTTCCCAGCCAATCAGGGAACTGGGCAGTGTGTAATGACGCACTGCCCGGCTTCCTGATACAGGAAGTATCGGGCTAGGCATCGGAGCGTTTGGGCGAGTACAAGTAGTCGCCCAAATACTCGGTATCGGCGCATCCCTAGCCGTAACCAATCAAAAGTGGTCTAGATGTTACATCATTCTTGCCTTCTTATATTTCTGTGCAAAAGTGACACTTCTGTAGCGCGACAATGTTGCTACACCATTAAAGTCTATTGGGGCAAATTGCACAAAATCCGCCGAAAAATAGGTCATGTTCGAGCTACAAGCTACAGGCAACATTGAGCTTTGAGATGTGAACAGCTCCATTGAAATGCATTGGACACGCTACATAGAGCTGATATTTGAGCGATTTTGGAGCTGAAATCAGGCTACAAATCGCTCAGTGTGAATGGGGTCTGAGATCACTTGTAATAAGCTGCAAGTAAAAAATAAATACAAACTAAAAAAAAAAAAAAGAAAAAGATAATACAAATTTAAAAAAAAGTTAAAAATAAATAAGTGATAAAAAGTAAAAAAAGAATAAAGAAAAAAAAATTGAAACCAACCCTGTTGCCCGTGTGTGAATAAACACATGCGCAGGGCAGTGTGTGTGTGCGCTGAGACATCGGTCTAAAAACAAGCCGGCTCGTATGGTCTGGTTAGTATAACTTTTTTTTCCTTCTTTTTAGTGGGGGTTAATATTAATTTCCCCCAGAATTCCTCTTTAAAGAACTCCAGAAAAATTTTATATTAACCCTTGCTGTGGGGCTACCCCACTAAAAAGAAACAAAGTTACACTCACTAGACCAGGGGTAGGCAACCCTGGCTCTCCAGCTGTGCTGGAACTACAAATAACCACCATGCTTCTGCCTCAGGGAGTCATGCCTGTGGCTTGCAATGCCTTATGGGATTTGTAGTTTCAGCACAGCTGGAGAGCCAAGGTTGCCTACCCCTGCACTAGACCATGCGAGCCGACTTGTTCTTAGACCAGTGTCTCCAGCATCTCTACCCCTGTGCTGCAGCCGTCTAATTATACTGGTGTCATCATGCTCTATACACTGTATAGACGGACGCCGAGGAGCATTCCACCTGTGCAGTGGAGGAGCAGACACGCTTCGCTTGATGACAGAAGCAGGATGGTGTGAAGAGTATAACTTTTTTTTTTTAGCACCTAGACAAAAACAAGCATTAAAAGTTCCAGTGTGAGGGTAGCCTACCTGCAAGGGTTAATATCTTTAACCAGTTAGCTCCGCCACCTGCTGCAACTCATTCAGTTTGAGTTGCTCAGGTTTGCAGCAAAAGAAGTGATACCAAATTGCTGGGCTTCATATTGGCTAAACTTGCTACTTTTACAGGAGTATTTCATTGCTGGAGATCATACGAGATCCAGGAACTGTAAGGAAGCACTTGGACGTTTCTTCACGTTATAATGCGTTCTTTATTAACATTCAACTAGCGCATTACCACATGACAAAGTCGTTGCGATAAGTGAGCACTCATCTGGCTTATTGGTGCCTATGCTATACTACTGCAGTACAGTTCTCTTCTTGATATAAAAGTACAATAAAGGGATGAAATAGGTCACGATGAGCTGTACACATAATGAACCCGGTAGATATGTATACCCAGAGACGTCCACTACTTACATTACTCTGTCCAGGGCAGACATCTCGTATTTTCTTCTTCACACACCACACGTGTCTAAAGCACTTCCTGTTCGTCCAAAATGACGTCATCCAAGAAGCATACCTACGCGTTAACAAAGCGGAACCATAGAGCTTTACAGTATGAAGAGGGTCCACCATAGAGAAACATACCCACACGTCGACAAAGCGGAACCATAGAGCTATACAATATGGCGAGTGCCCACCATAGAGAATAAGTAACGGCAAGAGAGTCGGAGCGTGAACAAATGTTATGGTATCACGAGATTTCGACCTGTGGCTGCGCCATATTGCTGTTAGTGGAAATGGAGGCGTGTTTGAGGGTTGTAATTGCTAAGTCACGTCATTGCACACACTGCAAAGTGCAGAATTTGCTTACAGAGGTTTCCCTATTTCTTTTAAAGGAATCTTGTATTGTGAAAATATAATGGCCTCCATTGCTCTTTCTTTTAAAAATGTTAGCTGGCTGTTGATCAGAAGGCTTTCATAATTTGCGTGCTGGAACAGGAGTTTTGCTTTATGCATGCTTGTTTCACGTCAGTCACTCAGAGACAGCCAGGCACCTCAAATTTTTAAATTCCAAAATGGCATCCTACATAAATAAAACCCTTAGTATGGGTTTCCTTTAAAACGTGCCTGAATTAGTGAGCAATGTGAATAGCACAATTGTTTATTTGTGCACTGCTTTGGGCCCATTCACACTTTTGCGCTGAATTATTGAATGTACGTGAACTTGTGTTAACCACTTGCTGTCCGGGGCATTTTCTTACGATTTGCGCACACATGATAAAATATAAATTTTTGGCTAGAAAACAGCTTCAAACCCCCAAACAATTGTATATGCTCTGAAAGCAGAGGCCCTGTAAAATAAAAAAATGCTAGTTGCAATTTTTATATCGCACGGTTTTTGCGCAAATGTTTATCAAACCCGTATTTTTAGAAAAATAAACAACATTTTTAATTTAGTGCACAGAAACAGAATATAATACCCAATTTTTGGGTAGAATATGAAAGATGGGATCACGCCTGGTAAATAGATACCAAACATGTCGAGCCTTAAAATTGTGTTCGCCCATGAAGCCACAAAAAAAGTCAATACTCAAAATTTCCCATAAGGAACATTTTAAACACTTTTACCGCTCATCAGCTTAGTGCTAACAGTAATTGATGGCCCTAGAATTATTGCTCTCCGACGTTCGCGGCGATATGTAACATGTGTAGCGCAATTGTCGTTTTTGCTCGTAGGCTCACCAACGCAAATTGCATGTGTATGTGGGGGGCGGGGGACCTAAAAAAAATTGTTTTGCATTTTTTTATATTTCTTTTATGTTACTTTCACTTTCATAATTTTTAAAAACCTTTTTTTTTACACTAACCCTATTGCTATCACTTGGGGGCCTAACAAGCACCTTATGTGACAGCAGATAGGGTGTGACAGGTCCTCTTTATGGAGACATCAGGGGTCTTTCCCCCCTGGGACCCCTAATGTCACTTAGGGATCCCAACGAAGCTAAGGAAGCCGAGATCTGCTTCCCCAGCTTCATCTCCTGGCTCTAAGAGCCGGAGACTGTAAGAGTGACACTGGAAGTGATGTAATACAAATCACGTCCGGGTCCAGTGATCGGAGGAGAGATCAGCGGGGAGACCCACCCGGGTACAACGGTGTCCGGGAAAGCCAACGGCGGGGGAGGGAGGAGCAGCGCACGCTACAAACGATCCGGTGGCTGTACAGACGCCAGATCGCTTGTACATTAACAGCAATCGCCTGCTTTTAAAAGCGATACCAAGAACATGGCTGCTGCTGCAGCAGCCGTATTCTTGTTTTAACCACTTCTGCGGGCCGCCGTCTATAGACCTATTGCGGCCCGAAAGTGGTTAAGGAAGTCCATAAAAAATGTGAATAGGCCGCACGCTGGAGTGGTGATTAGTAATGAACCTTGGACAGTCCGGGATTTGAGCCCTGTATGTGCTGTGTCTGGGTTTCACCTGGCCTGAAACCCGCAAACAGCACACATAGGACTCAAAACTCGTACTGACCAGGCGAATCGGGGACAGGTGGCAACCCTAACCTGGACTTGGTGTGAACCCAATTTGCCCGAAGCCAGTCAAAACTGTGACCGACACACCCCTTTACTGGCCCAGTCAAGAGAGGTGCATTCCCTGTCCCTCTGCTATACGTCACAAAGGGGCAGGTAATGCCCGCACCGAAACTGAATGGGCCAAGAGGGGGGGAGTGTCAGGCACGGTTTTGAGTGGGCTTGGGTGAACTTAGGCCCACTGGGTTCACACCGAGCCCAGGCTCATAAATTGTGCTGATCTGTAGACACTGATCATATCCTTGAATGATATTTATGTGGTGGAGTTGCTAGTGGTATTTGGCCAAATAGGTTATCCATGGTTAACACATGGTTTTGAATCTTTTGCACTTATTCCCAATAACTCCCCGTAGACCCTCATTGGTCTACCTCCCAAGGAGTGCCTATTGCAATCTTACATTCATTCCCTCCAAGATTCATTGCCCCAGTAAAAAGTTTATATTTCTGCAAAGGACTCCTTCTTTACCAGGAGCATGCATCAGTCATCAAAATTGAAGTAAAATTATTGAAAGTGCAGCTTGCAGTGTGGTCTGAGTGTTTGCAAGGCACTGCAAGCAAAGAAAATGATTTAGAAAGTAGGGCATTCAAAATCCATCCTGCCGCTGCTTCAAAGTGTGTTCACACCACTCTTTCCAATCTAATCCACTAAAAGACTGGAGAAACTGGGTTCGTGATGAATGGAAGACCACAAGAGCTATAGCGAGCAAAACCTTTGATGTGTTGCAAGAGTAGACTTGTTTCTCATAAAGTTTGCTAAAAGACTGAAATGCTGACAGATGTGTGTATAAAGTATTTTCACATTTTGTGACAAACACAAAGTGGACTTGTACTTCACACAGGAAGTGAGTTAAAATCTCCCCAACAGGTAAATAATGAGTTATATGTGTTCTTTTTTTTATGTATATATTTATAGAGATATAGTTAGGTGTTAAAGTGACAATAAAGGAGAACTATGGGGTCAGTGTTTTCCCCATAGTTCTCCTAAGGGTAACGGGAGGACACAAACTAGCATCCTCCCGTCACCCAAAGCTCCGTATACCACGAGCTACAGCTCGCGGTATACTGAGACGTCGCAGCCGCTACGGAAGCCCAACAATGCTGTCTGGATCCACCCAGCTGCGTGAGTGACAGCTGGCTCTGCCTATCTAGAGGCAGCTGTACCCGACCACTCCCCCGTCCGTTCCGCCAGTCAGCGCTGGATAATCGGACAGGGGAGGGGGGGGGGTTTCCCTGCAGGGAGCCGTAAGTGACAGTCACGGCTCTCTTCATGGATAGATCGAGAAGTGAGCGAGCGCCAGTATGTGTTCGCTCACTTCCCGATCTACTGAGCCGACCTGTGACAGTTTCATTGTCACACGTCGGCTCAGATTAATTAATTGAAGTGCTTTTACCTACTGTAAGGAAAAGATGGCGGCTGCGCATGCATGAAAATACACATTCCGTATGGCCTCACATCAGCCATTTTGTTTGTCCTGTAAAATGTATAATGTGAATTGGTTTGTGTTGCATTTAGATTTGTTGGACACTAGATGGCAGTATAACACTATTTCTCCCACAACATGCATTAGAGAACTCTCACATAATTAATAGGAATGTTACCCCTTAGTACACAAATATGACAGTTAGGGGTATTTAGAGGCAGAGATGTCACCTGAAGTCTGACAGTTGCGTACCTGCCAACTGCCTGACCGTATGTTATCTTTCATCTTCTGAGTGTGCTTTGTGTATGGTCAAGCAGCAACAGTCAGGTGTACATTTATCCCTAACTATTATCAAGCTTTTAAAAAGCAAGTAACATATTCAAAAAACAAGCCTGTTGAATTAAAGTAATTAAAGACAAATTTCTACATATACCCAATCCTGACTGGTTCTCTTAAAAATAATTTTCCGTTAATGGGTTTGGAAAGTAATGTAGTGACTATGACTAAATAGCTCCAGTTCATAAAGCATTAAGAAGCAGGCCATTAAAATGGAGATGGGAGTCATCAAAAAGTGACATACATTTGTGTTTAAAAAAAGGTAATATTCCCTTTGTATAAATGTTGTGGTGGATTAATTTCAAGTTCGGTGCAGTTAAACATCACATTTGGTCAAATACACATGATGTGAGCTCCATGCCTGTCCCACATATATGTGCATAGCAACGCGAGTGAGTATGAAAGTGGTATGTTCTTTTCAGGCTTTTTTACATTTATTAAGTTGTGGTTTTTGTATTACTCAATCTCTTACATTCAAACAGTTTATTAAAAAAAAAAGTGAGTAACCACTTGCAAATTCCAGACGTCAGCAAGGCTGGATAGCCTAGCAATTCAATGAGAAGAAAACAGATCCTAGGGACTTATTCTTAAGCTGGCCATACACCTACAGGTTTTCTGCAGATTTTCTATGGTCAGATGGAAAAGTGCAACAGATTCCTCCATCTACGCTAAACTGTGTGACTGGAGGAATCTCCCGCTGGGCCAAGCTTCAGTATCTTGCTAGTCGGTCCTGCTGGCTGTCAAAATACCTGAACAATCTGATTGGATGCAGGCATTGTTCAGGTATTTTGGGAGCCAGCAGGGCCGACTAGCAAGATACTGAAGCTTGGCCCAGTGGGAGATTCCTCCAGTCACACAGTTTAGTGTAGATGGAGGAATCTGTTGCACTTTTTTCATGTGACCACAGAAAATCTGCAGCAAAATCTATAGATGTATGACAGCAATAAATGTTACATGACTTAAAGGGGCAATGTAGAACATACTTGATTATTATTATACTACAGGATTTATATAGTATCAAGTTTGCGTAGCGGTTTACAAAACTCAGGGAGACAATACAGTTAACAATACAACTTCAGTACAGGAGGTAGGAGGGCCCTGCTCATGAGGGCTTACAATCTAGTAGGAGGGGCAAGTGATACAAAAGGTAATAACTGTTTGGGATGATTTAGTGGAACAACTGAAAGTACTGTTATGTC